ATGAATGCCAGCCAGATACAGTGTTAGAAATCTTAAGGATTATAACTTTGAAGAAACGGAGGTCATCTCAAAAATGTGTAACCCCCCCTTTTACATTTTAACCCCTGACCCCTGACGCCTTAAATAATTGTGCTTGGCCCTGCAGGTGTGCTGCCCTTTCTTTTGGGACCCTGAAATTAGTGTCTCTTATTTTTTGTTGGCCATCACATTTTTGTAAGGTAAGTACAGTAAACCATTGCCAGTATAGTTGTGTGTGTTATTGTGTAAAGATAATGTATGTGCACATTTTAAAGAGAAAATGCCCTGGTAAAGCTGTACTGCTTTGCTCATGATACTATACAATATCTTATGCACGTGTGGCTACAACAGAACTATGAGACAACACTACAGAACATCTGCCAGAGAAAAAAGGAAAAATTGTCTCTATCTTTGCTGTCATTTCTTGTATATGACTTGTACTGTATACATTTTCAACTGTACCTGAAATAAAATGAGAGCCTGTAGCCCGTTTGTGTGAGCTGATTAATGTTCTGTGCTCTGCATATTCCACCCCATTGTACATCTCAGCCAGACTCCAACTGTGGCAATCAATTCAATCAGCAGCGCTTATGAACCCATTACAATCTAGCTGAGAGCAGGCGGGGGCTGCATCCTTCAACTGGCCTCAGAGTAATTACTATTTAGTCAAGCCAAAAGGGATAGAAGGATGGAAGGATGGGTGGATGGGTAGATAGATGGATAGATGGGTGGGTAGACTAATAAAACCTGTCCCTAATGACTCGCATGTGACTATGAATATGCATTACTGCAATTGGGCAATAAGAGTGGGTGTTGCGTTATTTACACCCCCCCTCCCCCCTCTGAGAACGCTGTAGCACGTTGTCATGGTGACTAACGCGTACCATAGCAACAACGCTGCATGTTCTGAAGGCCAGAGGTCTCGTAGCGCCGTGAGGATGTCTACAGGCCTCGAGGGCGTAATATATGATGTAGGAAATTCATTGGCCACAACGCTGGCTGAGGCGGCCCACCACTCTCACCGCGTGCATAATTACAGGCTCAGCTCTCCATCGGCACAAGAAAAGAGATTTTAACAACGCTCCGAGTTAAATTTTCAAGCATGTGAACCGCTAACCTTTGGATGACAGCATGTATTCTTGTATCACTTGAATGGGAGTTGTAGTGCTGGTGTTGTTTGTGTACATGAGGGGCCAAATGTGGGGGTGCACAGGCAAAATGGTCAGAGGCCTCATAATCACTGATGAGGTATTTATTGTTTATTGCTTCTTCTTTAACAGCTCAATATTCCATTTACGCCTTTTATTTCCACTTAAGTAGCCTACAGGTTGGAAAAATCTCATTCACACTGTCATATCCCTATCATATATATTATATAACAGCCTGCTCAGACTCTTTATTAGATGTCATGTAGGTGCTTTGTACATCATTTATTTATTTCCATTGTTCGGTTTGGCTGCAGGTTAGTGGGGTCGAAGAGGTTGAATGAACCATGGCAAATTGCACCTGTGTACATGTTTCCATTTCATTCTATTCTAGTCTGTTACAAGGACAGCCCTTTTCACTATTGAGTACATGCACCCACTCCTTAGGTCCAGTGAAACACACTGTACTGCATTCTTGCAGATTTGGAAGCCTCTGCAGGCTATAAATTTGTGTTTTTATATTTAAATATTTGGCCTTTCAGAAACATAAGACTTGAAGTTGATGAATGACACTTATTGTATCAATTTAATGTAAAGCTCGCTGAGTTTATGCATACTGAAAGGCATATGGGGCGCCTGGTTAGCTCAGTGGGTAGAGCTGGCGACCCATGTACTGAGGCTGAGTCCTTGCTGCAGCAGCCCAGGGTTTGAATCCGACCTACGGCCCTTTGCTGCGTGTCATCCCCTCTCTCTCTACCTCCCTTTCCTGTCTATCTTTGGCTGTCCCTATCAAATAAAGATGATAAAAAGGCCAAAAGAATAACTTAAAAAAATGAAGCTCAGTTTGGTATGAAAACAATCAATTATGTTAAGAACTGGCTGTTGAGGGCGTAATGTTGGCTCTCCAGCTTCAGAAGAGATAGACTGGCATGTGTTATAATAAACATAGATTAAGTTGTTAAAGGTAGCTGGATCAACACATCAGTTTCAGGAAAGGGAGCCAGGACTCTGGAATGTTCATAAACAACAGTGTCTTTGGAAAACAGCAACAGTGTTGCTCTGAGTAACAGCCTTTTAATTCACAGCCAGTTGTTTTCAAATTGAAATACTGCTTGACAGGTTTGCCAATTGTTAATGAAGGCATTTTATGAAGCAAAAGATTTCCATATTGGTTTTTAGTTTACAATTCCAGGTAACCTACTGTACCACATTTACGCCACATACTTGACAGACAACCTACTGTAGCTGGAAATACAGTGACACCAGATTGACCAAGTCCTCAATAAGAAAAAGTATGATTTTTTTTTAGGCTTTTTGTTACCTAGCAAAGGGCCGTGAGTTGGAATCGAACACAGGCTGCTGCAGTAAGGACTCTGTACAGGTGAGCTACCAGACTTTCCCTGTCCTCCAAATTAAAAGAAATCCATGCCATACGGTCTAGAACGACAGATAGAATAGAATTCTGATCCAACGGCCCTATCGGCAGGATGACATTGTTTGTCTGTATCTTCCAAAAGTTACAAATCACTGGAAAATAAATCAGCTTCATGACGTAACAATGCATGGCTAAGGTTTGCTTGGGTTCCCACCTCAAAAAACAATCTAGTTAGGTTTAGAGAAACATCATGGTTTTGGTTAAAATGATGACTTTGTTAAGGTGAGTCTTGGCTGTCAGTTGAAAATGGCCTCCTATGTTAAAGTCTGATGTCTATGTGGACTTCAATCAATCTATAAACACTCATAATAAATAGAGGATAGAGCTTTCCGGACTGAAAAACCAATGCGGCACTGTCTTAAACATGCATTCTTTCTAACGGTCAGCAGGGGCAACAACACCGGTTTCAAAAAGAGGTCTGTTAGTAGTTAGTTAGTGAGTCTTAATGAGCTGACTTCTCACTTGATTTATGGACTCAGTAATTTCCTAATGAGTTTATGGTCTCGGTCTCCGGTTTCAGCGTTATTTTTCAGAGACATAGTTTAATATATTGTTTTTACTGTAATGCGAGAAAATTTGTGCCCAGGCTGGCCACCTTTTATTTTACAGCTACAGATGAGCCAAAACCAAGCGCACACCATCTCACAGCACGTCAGCACTTCTGCAAAAAAACAAGATGACTTTTATAACTTGATTTCCCCTATAATCTGCCATACTGCAGGTTTTCTACAGAGAGCTTCTTTATTTGCCGTCAATCTTTGCAAGCACCATGCTTCCCAGAAGAAATGCGCCAGATTAGTCTTCATAACACATAACACGTTCTATTTGTGTTTATATCAAAACTGTATTTTTACTCCAAGACTTTCAAATGAAATAGGAATTCCTGCCCTTTATGTTCCGAATACTTGTTAGTATATAAGTATGAATTACTGTGTTAGTTGATGGATATGAGATACAGCTTGGGTAAATGTGTATATTTAGAAAACAGAAGGAAATGCTTTTCTATGAAGGACCTGAGAAAGACTTTATATCCAGTATACTGCTGCATGTTCATTCTATCTAATATAAAAGAATCTATAACATGAACAGAACAAAATGAAATCATTCATTCTCATCTGAGGACATGCTCAGTGCTGTGATGGTTATATATTCCGCAACCTCCTTCTGCCCTCTGCTGTCCAACTACTGTAAAACAGAAAGGTACCAGCAATAGATGATTTACTTCATTCTGGAAAATGCCCGATTTGTCTAAAAACCAAGTTGCTGTGAACTCTGTGTCTTCGGTGGAATCATAAAACAAGATGTCTGCTCAGACTCGAGGGCCCCCCACACACAAACATCTAAATTTATAATTATAAACCTACTGATAAGGTTCCAATGGGTCTCCTCCAAACTTTACACCGCTGTGTGGAGGGGAGTCTAGTCTTGTCTAGTCTACACCCTCACATTAATGTGACCGTGCTCTCTAGATCATTTGTTGTCCCATTTTTTTGGAAGCTGCCATTTTTCCAATATAACTTTTAATTTGAATTCTCATTTTGTGAAATTCTTCTACAATCCAAGATTTTTTCTTACACTTTATAAGAGCTTATTTTAATAAAATAAGTAAGCAAGTTATCATATGCCCAAGTAGGCATCAATTTCTAATAATGTCCAAAATGTAAAGATTTGATGCAAGTCATAGAAAACAATGAGGTTATTGCTAACAATGTAATTGTAGCAGTAACAATTAGATGAGCCACATAAAATGAATTGACTTAAATTTTATTCATTGTAAATTGTTTTTATCATACGTCAGTTGTTTCAATAGGTAATTTCATAATTTACTTTAGTGGAAGAAAACTGAGCAGACTCTAATTAGTGGTAACATTTGTACAAAGATATATTTAAGTTAGTCTTACTTTATTCAGATAAATTCTGTTAACATATTTTGGAGAAATGCTGCATATGAGTATACTATACTTTTATACTATACTGGTTTTAGGTGCATGTAACTAAATGTAATTGTTAAAATTACTTAAGTTACCTCAACAATAAATTTGAGTTACTGGTACTCAAATAAAATATTTTATATGTTTAAATTGTTTGAGTTAATAAACTTAAATGCTTTACGTCAATTGGTTTTCTCAAAAAGTTTGAGTTGAGATAACTTACCAGGTGTACCTCGTGTTTACTGCTTTGTTGCTTATGTGTCCTGCCAAGCTGATGTATTGGAGATGTATAAAATAATTAATTTGAGGCAGCATGTTGCCTAATAAATGCATTAGGTGGACATTGGAGAAATGTAATTTATTCACCCACTTCACAGTTTACAGTCTGCAATCCACCTTCCTTGCACATGTTTGTACTGTAAGAGGAAGAATGAAATAGAAACACAGCAAATAAAAACAGGAGATCCCTCATACGCTTATGGATGTATTTTAATAAAAATAATTCTGTCAAAATTAAACAGAATACAATATTTCTTTTTTAACATGTTTCCAGTACATAGGTTTTTTTTTTTTTCAATTATCATTTTTCCTTTTTTTTTTTTATATCATTTTAAAGGCTTTAAAAGTCATGCTAAGTAGAGGGTAACTCAATTCACAATTGTTTTTTTATTTTATTTTATTTTTTGCTAAAACTCAAAAATCAAAATATGAAATTAAAATTATGATAGAAGTCAATTGTGCACAGCTTGTCTGCGATGCCTAAATCCATTTCTCCGGCCTCTCCAGAAGAAGTTCATGTGGCTTCAGAGGCCTCGGGCCCATTTTCAAAACAGTCCGTCCTTTCCTTAAAACAATCACTGATCACATCAGTGGCTATGTCTATGCAGGGATTAGAGGAAGGGTGCGTGGTAACAGCGCTGAGACGCAACCCAGGCTCAAAACACAAAGGACAGCTGGGAGACTCGTTCCCTACAGGTATGCAACAGAGGTTGTTCTTTCACATACAGGTGTGTGTGTGTGTGTGTGTGTTTGTGTGTGTAACAGAAGTCCTTTACAGCTGTAGAAGAAGTTGCTGTGAGTGTATACTGTATGTGTGGTTTTTAGAATAGTTCCTATTATAGCAGAAGGTCTTTATAAAAACCAGCTTGGTAAAAAGTTAGACCACATACCCTGTAGTAAACCCCACACTGCATATACACATCTCCAGTATTATATTATTCCATATGTCTCTACCATAGACTTAAAATGCTCTTATAAATGGAAATATACACTTCAGGGTGGATCCACAAGCCATTTGCCAGGTCACAACAAAGCAGCAGGAGTGACAGCGTGCCACCATTCAGTCAATATTCAGTCACTGTTATTTGGTAGAAAACAAAAGAATGTTTCAGATAAAGCTAAAGGGGTGGTGATGATCACAATCAATCCAATTATTGATGCATATGGAAAAATCATACAGTGGAGTAGGATTTATAGTTTTGCCTGTTCAGATACAGAGACAGAAAGCTAATGATGATGATGATGATGATGATCTTGACTCGCCCACTTCCTCAAAAAACAACAACACTTCTGATGAATGATAATGGCGATAAAATGTCAGTATTACATTTGTGCTTCTAAAAGAAAGGTCCAATGTGAATAATGCTATATTAGTTACAATAATAAATAAACAAGACATTATGAAATGAATAATCTGTTGTACAGATAAAATACGTAAAGGAATCAAAACTCAACTCAGACCCCATGAACTGCCAGTGGGAGCTTATCTATGTTCCCAAGCTCCTTAGTTCCCTAACCCCCTGACCATAATCCCTAGAACTGGGAACAAAGGACCCTGGGAACATAAATACTGCCAGTTAGCGAATTAGCTCCATTTGGCTACAGCAAAGAGTGTCTTGTGTCCTTTTGCTCTTCACAGAGTTGTGTGTCTTTCTTCTCTGAGGAACTTTCTCACAATCACAACACTGCCAAAGTCGCTCTGAATGAATCAACTAACGTTAGCTGCTGCCGCTAACACTGGTTCTTCCCTTAAATGCTGAGTAATCCAAGCCCACAAGCCAGCCTAGCTAGTTAGCTGGCTAGGTAGGTAGCATATGTAGCCTTGTCAAGCTAAATATAAAGAAGGGTTGGGTAAGGTTTAAGAGCAGCAGCAACTAGCTGGTTGATTCAACGTTGCTTACTAGCTAGTCGGGGGGGTCATCCCTATGTTCCCTGGGTCCTATGTTCCCCACTAAGGTTAGGGTTCCCCGGTCCCATACAAAGTGGGGAACACAGGACCCGGGGAACACAGGACCCGGGGAACACAGGACCCGGGGAACACAGGACCCGGGGAACACAGGACCCGGGGAACACAGGACCCGGGGAACACAGGACCCGGGGAACATAGGTTCCCCCAGTCGGTTAGCTACTAGCTATGAGGAGCAAGCTGGCTAACTGTTTGGAGCAGTGTTTGAGCCCTGTGATTGAGCCTCGGTGACAACAGCACTGTGATGAAAAGTGTCACCAGTAAAACGGCCATAATAGAATAAAAACAGACTTTTGAAAGAGGGCATTTCGAATAGACCAGCATGTGAAATGAAATTACAATGTACTGGTTAAATTATTTTCATTCATATGCTTATTTATTTCATAATGTCTTATTCATTCATTTGAAATTGAACACTCTGGGGCTGCATACAAAGTGGCTGCCAGCTGTTTTTAATGCTGTTCGGGGCTGGAAGTGGTAATTGGTCATTTTGTCACTACTGATCTGACTCCAGAAAAAGACCCCCTGAACAGGAGCAATGTGGTTACTTTGTAAATTTCATGGTGGCCAGCAGCGAACCTGAACAATAAAAAGACCTTTCCTTTGCATCAAGGGTTTGTTCTCACTGGGAAACACAAACCTGTGGTTTTGGGGTTTATAAATAAACTTGACTTGACCATGTCCTACAGTCCAATAACAGGTAGAACATAGTCAAGTCAAGCTTATGGGTGTTAGAGAAGTGGAGGTGTCTGAGTGGAGGGGAAAAAAAGCCTTTTTCCAACACATACAACTGGTTTTCACAACGTTTAAGTGGTTTGGAATCAAATGCCCAAAATGAAAGAAAGACTGTGATTTAATTATCACAAAGTGCAACCGAAAATTAAAAACCTTCCCATTTGGCAAATGATTTCACCTTTTAATTTGAAATTCTAATTGCGACACCACATGCACAGAGCAGGTCAGGCTGTGGAAGAAGTACAAAAAAGACTGCAGTAATGAAATCCCCAGGGGGAACTTGACTTTTAGCCATACACACAAGGTGCTTGTTAGTCTGCCTTTGATACAGATTTTTCTCTTTGCTGGCATCAAGGTGACCATGATAATAGTGTTAGGTTGGGTCCTGAGAGTGGGGTGTTGTAGCTGCAGCTGGGGCTGAGCTCTGCCACCTACAACATGACTGATTGGTTGATGCAGAGGTCGTTACAGTAAAATTAAGGCTCCAACACCTCTAATATTCCAACTGAATCCCTTGTTACTGGCAGTGTTTGCCACTACAGGGACCCTTCAAGTATGGTTTTTTTGGTGTGTGTGTGTGTCCTGTTCTTTGGCTACTAACCTGTTAGCTCAAAGTATTTTATTCTTGAAAAATTACATCACAGTTTGTTTTCCAACTTTCTGGAATAATCCAAGGACCCACTTTTGTCTTACATCAGTCCATTTTCTAGCATTTCCTACTGTATGGTATCAGCCTTTACCAGAGTTAATGATCTGCTCCACACAATCAGTGGTGTTCATGCTGAGAACTCGCCATCCGCAATGCATACAAAGACATGAATGCACTTCAAAGTGGCTCAGAGGCTGTCTTCTGTATCTCAATAAAGATGTTAATATACCTCAGGTTTAGTTAAATTGACCTACAGATGTGGGGGTCACTCTGATAACCAGATGTGGGTATTGTGGTCGGTGATATGGTGAACAACAACAATGTGAGTAAAATACTGATGGCAGGGAATCAAAATCCACCCATTAAAACAGAAGAAAAAATAAAAAGGGGAGTTACAATTTGTTTTGTCCAGGATGAGCAGCACAACAAACTGACAAAAAAAAGAACTATAAAAATGGCTAGATAAACAGAATAATAATTAATTATCTTTAAATAGTGTCACACATTTCTTTATTTGATAATACTAAATTAAAAGGAAGCTTTCTTCTCTCTCGATCTCCTCCGCTCCTCTGTCTGTGCTGCTGGCTCGGTCTGACGGACAGCCAAACACACCAACCACACGCATGCTCTTTCCTCCGTCGCCATGACAACTACCTGCTGGACATGCCTTCTCTCAGTGCTACTTAACATTAACCTGTGGAGAGACAGGTAATTATCTAAGCGAGGTAATGAATGAATGTAGCATGATTGAAACAGCTTGCTTTCCTATTCATGTACAGAAGAAATGTAACATACTGTTTTGGTCTTTTTATTTTGCTTGGGAGTAATTGTTCTGATCCAAAAGTATCATCATTTCAAATATTAGTTTTACCTGGATCTTATTCTCAGAATTGTGGTCCTTGTGACTATGGGTTGTAGAGCTTTGAATCTCTGCCCAAAACCGATTGGCCCCGAGCCACCATGTCGGGTTCAGGCCCAAAACTGCTGTCATAGGTCGGACTCGTACAGAATACAATTTAAAATTTTTGTAGTTTAACTGTAACTAATGAATTTGTTATTTGTTTTAATAATCAAATGTTCTGTATTATATGCACAATGTAGTTTGCTTTAGCTTGTAATAAATAATTAAAATAATTTATTTTAAGCAGAAATTTGTGCTAACTTTGCAGTCGCCACCTCGGTTGTAGACAGGGAAAACACCACAAGCCTCCCAGAGTTGTCAAAATACCGGTAAACGTACATTTTACATAAATTATTTGAAACGCTTGTCGTCAAGTTTGGCTGAAAATTAGCACACAAATTGGGCCCCTGCGTTAGCTATTTTAGCTAACGGCATAGGGAGCTATTTCCGGGCTAACCAAGCTAGCTAACCAAGTTAGCGGCACACCAGTTTGTTTAAGTGTGCGAGGCTGTGCGTCGCTGTGAATACATGATAGACGTAGTGGAAAACATAAGATTTGATGTTATAATCTTCTCCACCAGGCGAGCCACCAGAGCGCAGAAAGGTTCTGCTTTTATGGTGAAACAACTTAGTCGGGGTTAGGCTTAGCATCCAAGAGGGCATTTTTGTTGTGTTTTTTTTCAGCATCGGAGCACCAGGCAGGGCGATGGGTCCATATGGTTAAGAAACAGCAACAACAACCCCTATAAAGCTATCAAATACTTTCAGGACACTATTGTAATATCTGATTAGTTACTTTCAGTAACTCTGGGGCAAATGTTTGATATTTTTTATGTAAAATTTAGGTTCATCTGGAAAGTTTACGGAGGCTTGTGTCGCTTGCCATGAAATACGTTGTTAGACAGGTGTCGATCCTTTAGTATCTCCACAACGGAGGTGCAAAGATAGCATGTCAGAGTCAGAGCTACCACAATTCTGAGAAAGATCTAGCCTGAAATTAAACACAACTTTCTTTTAACTCACCAACCACCAACATTGTGCAAAGCATCAGTATTGCTGCTATGGTCGGCTACAGTCTAATGTGGGTTAGGCTATTATTATACTACATGAACTTACTCACCTGGACCTGGGCTAGTGCAAAAAGTTGTCTACTCTGGCGAAGGAGCAGGAACCAGACCGGACTCGGGCCATGAGCTGAACACACTCTGTGGCCTGGCCGAGCGCTAACATCAACGGAGGCTGCTTAGGCAGATTTTGGGACTCTGGAGGAGAAAAACAAAATCAAGCAGGGGTGCAGCACATGAGTCACACTGTATCAAATTGTGTGAGTCTGGGCATGAAAGCACCCTAATATCAGAGAACACAGTCTCCATTATATTTGTCTTCCTCAGCTGTAAATGTACCCTAATCCTTCTCTGATGTTCTAACTTTGAAAGAGGCTGTTTGCTGCCTTCCTTCTTGTACAGACAATAGATGTACCAACAGAGATACAACAGATAACCTGTCAAATTAGATTTCATTTTTCATTTCATTGTCCCATAATTCAGTTCATCAGTTAATTCAGTGTGCACATTATGGTCTGCTTCTACTAACTGACAGGAATCTATGAAACATGTTATTATACAAATTGTCTTGGACAGCAGATGATTTGAAAGGTGGTTCAAGGCCAGTTATTTCAAAAATGGCCAAAAAACATTGTTAAAAAAAATCCATGGTGAACTGATCAGATATTCTACGTAAAATGAAGGTAAATGTGGTAGACTTTATATCTAAGACAGGGACAATGTTAACCGTTTGTTTTCTTTACATCGTCATGGAGTTACGGTAAAAAAAAAACTGCAGTTGTAGTTTGAACACACAGCGTGTCTGTGCCGGCTCTTTACCCAGTATGGCGCTGTTGAGTGCGGAGCAGAGTGATTCTCTCTGCGTAGGGTCTAACTGCTGGCCAACGGGGCAGTTCCACGGGTCGGAGTATGCTAGCAGGCTAAATGCATCCTACACCGACAGACAGACAGACAGACACAGAACAGAGGGGTCCATATGAGTACAGAGCAGTGCATACCCTAGGTTGGGCTTATAATGTGTCATTTAACCTTCCCTACATGTATCCATACATTTCTGAGGGCAAAGTGAAGCAATGATCGATTAATGACTCGACATTCCAAAGTGGTATAAATAAGCAACATAGCTATGAGTAGGCATGGGGCCATATGAAAATTTCATGTCATGATTATCCTGGCCAAAGTAATTGCGATTCAAGATATTATTCAGATAATCAACTAAAAATACCAAAAACTGACTGGAGAGATGTGGACTCCTCCTTGTGGCAATTAAGAATCCAGAAATCAACATGAGACTGTACGCTAGAGAGCTAGACAGCTTTTTCAAGTCACTCATTTACAATTTTTCCAATAATAACAGTTTCTTTTATCTCAATGCGTGACAATTTTGTACATCGTCACTCATTATTAACATACAGTTATTAACAGTTCTGTGCACATTTTGGCCTCTTTCAGCTCATGTTTTTGGTTCTCTAGCTGTGCATAGACAGTATGTTTGAATCCCACGTGTCATCGGCATATAAAAGCACAGTCAGCTTCCAACAAACAAACCTAGACCCTTTGCTTTCAGCCCAGCACACGGCAGAGAACTGGTGTTACTGAGTGACTGTTGAACATAATCTTACACTCACTCAGACAGAGACGTAACATTACTTCTTACTTCTTACTGGAAAAGTGTCCATTTCTAAGGGCCTAGTTTGTTGTGATGGAAGTTTTGCTATCATGCAATACAAAATTCCTATTATATTAGAAACCGGCCAGTGTTGAACAAACAACTACAGACAAGCCCCTACGCCGAAACGTTATCTTTCCCGTGCAGTCTCTATTGTTTTTCCAGAGCCTCTATTGTTCTCACAGTGGCTGCTTATGAATCACAGCTTGCAGTACACGGCCATTTGAGCCTTCTCACGGCACCACAGAACTGACCCACTGGTTGTAAGACAGTTGAGACTATCTGCTTTATTACAGCTCATCCTAATTGAAACATCACTTAAATTCCTGCAGTGGGTACAGAATGCCGTCAACTGGTGCCAACGGAAGAAATCTCTTCAGCCCAGTTTTGGCATCGCTTTAATCTGTTGTAGCACAGCTGTTTACTGGAATCAAGATTGTGTGCACATGCAGTGGTGTGAGCGTACCTGTAACATCTTCTTATGTGTGGCGTTCTTGCCGTACTCGCGGCACAGCTGTTCATTGAGTGCCTGCAGCTCCCGTCCAAACTGGATCATCCTCTCTGTAGCCGCCTGGTTCCCTCCGCAAAGCTGTCTGCTATTACTACAACCCTCATCTGCTGGCAACAGAGACACACGGTTAAAATGCACCTATTGAAACAGCACGTTGGAAGTTGAATGTAAAAAAGCAAAAGGCAAGGTATGCAACAAAGCACATAAAGATGAATCAAGGAATAAGTGAAATGAAACAGATAAGATGCCTAAAGTTGCTTATATGCTAGCAACAGTAGCATGTAGAGTTTAGATCTATATGTGTGCCTGTGTGTGTGCGTGTGTGTACCTGTGACCCCGTTGCCAATGCTGTTGTCGTCTGGCTGAAGGATCTCTTCGTGCTTGTATGTGCCATTCATGATCCGTGCAGAGGAGCCCTCAACAACCCCGTTGGTATAGTGCTCTGCTTCGATCTCCATCTCACTGTCACTACACACACGCACACACACACACATACACGCACACACAAACACAGCAGGCACATGGAAGCAAAGGATGAAGGTTCACAAAACATGATGTAAACATGTTATGCTCCAAGTGACTGGCCCAGCTAATTTCAACCTGACAGACAGACAGAGCAACAACTGGCAGTCTAAACACGACTGAAGATAACACTGAACAGAGGTGATTAAGCCCATGTTATGAATAGAGTATGATAACACTTTATTTATTATTTACACTGCTGGAGACCAGACGACATCGCTACACACCACAGAAGTCCATTGAGGCAAGAAACACCAAGCATTAGAGACACCCAGACAGGTTTAACCAGCACTTTTATTACAGGAAGTCAGGGCTGAATGAAACGTTTGTGTAGCAGCATTTATCTTTTGTCACTTCCAAAGACGTAGTTTAGACAGTACGATTAAACTGAGGATTAGCTGAAAACCTGAATTGTCCCTAATTTACTAATTTGCACATTGTTAAGCTGTTACTAGCGCAGTGGCTACATCTGTGACTTTGCTCCAGGCGACATGATTGACGCAAAATTTCCCCTGTTCGTGTATTCATGCGAGTTGACAATATTCAACTCATATTGCCAGGCTTTTGCAGTGTCGTGTAGGGAAGGCCGGTGAGACGGAGCTGCTGTTCACTGCTCGAGCCCGAGGAGCTCTGCAGAAGAGAGCTGGCAGGAATAAACACCTGCAGTCACACAGGATTCTGCTCTTATCTGGAGCCGTTTTCCAGCAAGAGGAGAGCTTGGAGTTTATTTTTTAAACTTTTGGGATTAAAAAAAGTGGATTTATCTTCACCCTCTTCCCGTCACCCCTCCTCAACCCGTCTGCTGCGAGCCACAGAGGTGCCCATTTTTAGCCATCTGTGTGCACACTGAGCTCTATGATACTACTCTAGATTTCTCTGAGAAAAGTATGAGAGGCAGTTGGACTACCTGGTAAGAGCTGAAAATATGTGTATGTTACTTGATTCTATCAGTTTCTTTACTATATGACTCCATTCAGAAAACAAAAGTTGTTTGCTTGTTAGCTAGCTGCTACATCTGATAGAATTACCACAGCCCCACACCACACCTGTTGTACATCAGCTGTGGAGGTAACACCAGTTTATCTGCTCTCAATGAACCCCACAGGTTTCCTACCTGGTTTCCTGGGTGCTGTTGGCGCTGTGTGGCTGGCTCTTAGTGGAGTCGGAGGAGTTGGACTCGGAGTAGTTGACGGAGGAAGGGGAGGAGGAGGTGGAGGAGGAGGCGGAGGAGGGGTATTTGACGCTGCTACTGCCAGCGCCGCTGTGGCTCTTTGACTTGTTGGTAGGAGTCACCCCATTACTGCAGGTCGGGCTGTCTGCTCCTAGATGGGGGTGGGGGGTGGAAGGAAAACACAAACGCATATCTCATTTCTTACAGCGGCTGGGAAAATAATTCTCATTTCCATCTGTGTGAGCCTGTGTACCTCCGGTGTGCAGGTGTGTGTTGCTGGCTCCGTGGCGGGGGCTGAGGCTGGGTGAGCCAGGGTAACTGTCCTGGGACTTGGGCGAGCGGATGGTCAAGCAGCAAACCTCACTGTCTGTACCGTTCACCATCTCCACGAACTGACGACACCTAAAAAGCAACAAAAACAACGCTTTTAAAGGAAGAGGTACCGCGCATTTCTCGTCGACTCCACATCCACAGCAGCATTAGTGAAGGTTTTTAAAAATTACTGTTACAGCATCTCCTGGATTCGATCTTGATCGAAAATATGCTGACTTACTTCAACATGAATAGTAGGTTGGGGTTGTGTTCTAACAGGCCGGGGTAAAGCTGCTGAGTAGCTTCTATGGCTTCCCCCACTCGTCCTGCCAGCACCAGCTTCTGTATTCCTATTAGACAAAAAAAAACAGGGTGCTATTTACAGTATATTGATCAAGAGGAACCATGGTTTCATGGCAAACATTTGATAGAGGATATATATTCATAGAGATCATTAGGGACAAACAATACCCACAGTATCTAATTCTGAACATCTTTTCTTTCAGAATGGTGGTACACTTACAATTTAGTCCATATTTAATATCTGATTTGGATAGCAGAAAGGTATTATTTGACAATAAGATGAGTTTGCCGGTAAAAATCTTTAGCATTAGTACAGGGAGTCCATAAATCCAATGTCAAAGTGAATACTGGATTATGCTGTAAAAACAGGCTCAGAAACACCACCAGTCCCGGAACATTCTTCAGTTCTGTTAAATGACTTCTTACTTATTATTTGTTACAAGTCAAATGAAAATGTGACTGAATGAATATGTGTGTGGTTGCTCTGTTCACTCACTCTGTCTGTTCTTTATAGATGTCTGGTCCTCTTGTATCATGGTCTCTGTAGCTCTGGCGAAGGCTGTTGCGGTGGCACAGTACCCATGATGCACCAGGTAGCTGGACACCATACTGGAGACAAAACATGACAACACAAAAGAAAAGTGTGTTAGTCTGTGTCTAATGCTTTCTGACTTCCCAGTACTGCCTGTGGCTCTCAGCCACCAGCCAACTGGTTCCCACTGAAGAAATACATCTTTATAAACAGGTTACAAATATATAGTTTCATTATTTTAAAAAAGCTCAACAATTTCCTAACAAAGAAGCTCACTGTAGTTTTTAGTCAACATCACTCAAACAGGAGTAAATTTGTTGGGGACTATTTTTAGTAATGGACAAATCCACATTTGGTGTATGAGTTAGTATTTACAGATTTACAGCAGCAGGACAGTGTATTTGGATAGGGATGGGACGATATACAATATTATTAAAAATAAATGTATCGTGGTGAATTTCCATTATCATGATAGTCGTTAATATCCTCACATGGCATGACTTGTAAAAGTTGTCTAGCTCACCGGCATTTTGTCACCAGTGCACATCCACTGAGAATGGACTTTACAGTGAAGTAGGAGACATCGTGTGTCCAGCAGGAAAACTTTAGAAATGAACAACATTTGCATATTCAGAAATTCTCGAGGTTTTAATGAGGTGGAAGGAGTAGGTGAACTTTTTAAGAATTTTAATGTGGAAATTAAACTTTTGCTGAAGGGAAAACATATCAGTCCAGAGATATTTTTTAATTTTTGTTCAGCTGCTGCATGCTGCCATATTCTTTGCTTTAAGATGAAGCTATATTGCTGTAGCGTCCCTCAAACCAGTGTGTTCTCATACTGACAGTATGTGTGTTTGTGTGTTTGTGAAGGTGTGGGGACTGGATCCTACTTCTGCAGGACGGCCTGCCACTCCCCCAGCCTCTCTCCTATGGGGAAGCGAGCAATCATGCCATGGATTTTGGCCCGCCATTCACTCATGTAGTCCTCGATGTCAAAGACAAACGGCTGCTGGCCGAAGTTGGCGTCTACAATCTCACCCGGAGTTTGAAGCCCCACAGTGGGGTACAAGTTGGGCTGGAAAACATTAAAGATAAAATATATTCACTGTTAAAATGGTCAGTTTCTGCACTGTTTTGAGCATTTTTTAAATACTGGATGACATAAACATTCATAGCTGTGTATTAGACCAATAATTGCATCAAAGGTGCATAATCTTACAACAGTAATGAGCTGCATGTTGATGTTTGTCTGACTATAGCTTATGGAACAGGGGCACTAAACATTGCAATCAGACCCAGAAGCAAATATACAGTAAGAATTGTCCACAAGTTCTTAAAACTTTTGGTTATGAAAAGCTTCAGGTTATGGCTTGTTAAGATCCTGTAATGGAAAACTGCCACTGGGTAAACAAGCTGGATAACTGCACAAACAGTGAACTGACTTTTTACTAAGCTGTCATTAGATTATAGGGTTCAGCCAGATTTTGGTCTTTTGGTATATGCAAAAACCACCAACAGGGTATGAAATTAACACCAACACCCGGTTGAATGCTGGTTGGGTTCGACAGTGGTTGGTAACTCCATCTGCTCTTGCAGCCACTGTGGCCAGCAGCCAACTGTGATTTTGAGTTTCTGTTCTATTCTTAAAACCTTAAAATCTGGCTGGTAAAACCTTTAAAGTGGCTGTTCTTTGCAAGGGAATGTTCCAGATACTGCGGCCACCCAACCCAACTGCCAACATAGGCTAAAATTAGATATGGACCTGCAGGGTCGATGTCCGGTTATATATTATTTCACAGTCTGTCACTAGTTACAGGAACGGTATGATAAGAATCATAAGGGTTTGGTATAAAAATATTAGCTTAATGTGTAGAAACATGTGTTAAAAGTATTAAAAGTGTAGTTTGTTTAGGGTAATACTGTAAATCTTCCTCAAATATCTTCATGGCTGCCAAGCGGCTATAGAATTAGGCAGTGATGGAGGTACCTGAAAGAGGTATGTCAATGAAAGCACAGCAATAGAAGCATTTAACATTAAAAGTAAGCACTGTTAGAGTTCAGTTGGTATATCTTGAAAATGATGCTGCAATGAAGTGATGCACATATACTGATACTTACAGGGAGGTCTGTGAAGGCTACACCTAATGGACAAAAGGACAAACAGTTCAAGTTACAGTATACATGATGATTTCAAGCTATAAATGAAGCAATAATAATAACAAACTATCCATTCTTACAGTAAAACATGTTCACCAACCTAAACTGATGCCATTTTTGGTGTAAAAGCAAGTGTTGTTGATGAGGTTAACACAGCAGCCAATCACGTCCCCTGTGGTGAATGTTGGGCCGTATGGTTGGCCGGTCCCGGAGGAGCAGAAGGAGTGGCCGTCGTCTCCATGGTAACCGTATGAGTGCTTGTCCCACCCTAAAATAGGACATGGATTAGGACTAGTTTTGTTATTTTATACTCGTTATGAAATGTGTGTTGTTAGCCAAACAACAGTGGAAAAGGTTGATCAGGGTGCATGTTGTTTTGTAGCACCAGTGGGTGAACCCACAGGAGCATTTGAGGTGAAGTGACTTGCTCGAGGTCAGTAGTTGCTGCTGAAGGAGAGGAGACAGTTACTCATTGACTTCTGCTGCTCAGATTTTCCCATCTGACTACCACTGCCTGCAGGGTGTCTCATGAAAATACACACACACACACACACACACACACACACACACACACACTTTCTGACTCTTTGGCATGCGGTGCAATGCAGTAGATGACCAGCAGGGGGATCTCGTCTATGTAAAGAAACTGGTGAGTCACTGCCAACAGGAACAGCAGCACAGGAGGCTGAACCAGGAGACACGAGGAGAGGGAAGAGGATGTCATGATTTGCTCATTAAACTTAGCTTACTGCAGCTGGAGACTTCCTCATTATTCAATACACTGAGAGTATGGCAATGTTTTATTTTACAAGTTCCTAATTTCCTTAAAATCTCACAGGAAGTTTTCTGGAAGCACTAGTCAGATAGTGTTCCATAGTCCTCTTTCCCAGCAGACATTTTGACTTGTCATAGTAGGAAAAGCACAGCTGTTACTAATAACAATGGCTCCAGCTAGAGTAATGATGGTCCCGCTATTGTGCACAAAGTGACTGCATTCTCAATACCAGGACCCTGACACTGAAGCAGCTTAAATGGTTATTATTATTTACACCTGAGCTTTCCTAGCGTGACATGGATAAAAGCCTTCCTTCCTGAAAAGGGCCTATTGCTTGTGAGCCCGAGTCAAAGGTTACGGCCTCAGTGTGGACATGAGAGAAAGTTCTCCTTCATATATTGTTTCCTTTCTTTCTTTCCTTTTCCTTTTTACACTCCGAAGAGATTAAAGTACCCAGTATTATTATGTTGTTTTAACACACATATATATATATATATTTTGTTAATATATTTTTTGTTTTTACGAATGGCATAAAGGGAACTATCACATTAATTTCATTATACAACCCTGCGTTGTAAAATGACAATTAAAGTAATTCCCAGTGAGTCCGTCAAGCGCTCTGTACAAAACTCAGATCAAACTGTCAAACTAGGCAGTGCTGATCAAATATGAATCAAGATTATGTTACTACGTTGCCTATTTCTCACCTACAATCGTTTCAGAAACATATTTTAGTGTACTGTTTATCTGTAATATGAGATTGTGTGTGACCAGGCGAGCTGCCATTGTTTCCTGCTAACATGGCAATGGCCATAATTCCAAACTCAAGGCTTCAAAACGGTACTCCACAAACCAATGGCTGACATCATGTCACTTATCACACTTGCAATAAACCCACAGGTTGGAAACCAATGACCCAGAAAGACACAGGAGGTCAGCTAAATATGCAATAATGTACAGTGTGTCTACAGATAAGCATACGATTCAACATATAGAGTTTCTAAATCTAAATGAATAAAATGCATAAATATTTACTTTGTTTTAAATGGAGCAATTTTACCTATAATTATATAACATAGTTTCTTTTAGGAAACCTAAGAAACTGTCTGGAATTACAGGCCTGTAAAATAAAGCATTACCATATATTATATGTTTCTTTAGGATAGGAACCATCAAGCTCACTACACATTGCATAAACAATCAGCATAACCCTCATCTGAAAGTAAGGTAGCCGTTCCCAAGGCCTTCAAAGATGAAGAGGCTCTCACAACTATGTCCTCGGTTCTAATTTTATGTCAGTGTGCCTAACCACGTCATTCTATTCAGTTGATAAAACCTAACAACAGCCACTTGAAGAGAGAAAGAAGCTTTGTGTACAGCAGGTACCACAGAGCAAGACATTCTAAAAACTCCACATGCAGTATAGCCAACATGTAGTCTCACCTTAAATAACCTTTATGTATTTATATACCACTCTTAAAGAGGCTGTAAGTAATCTCTACATGGTTACATGGGTTCATTATTGATCTCCCCAAAGCTAAAATACATCCTCAGGAATCGCATTTTAGAGAAGAGCAGAAATGACTTTTTGTCCTCCTTTCAATGCAAAATCAGATAGATCTCAGTCACTCCGGTCCAGTAAATCTCAACCAGCTGACTAATGTCTAGTAGAACATACAGATTGGATCTACAAAGATCATATCGTTGTGATTTCAGAACAACAAAGAGCTGATAACAAGGCAGGATTCGGCAGGATTCCTCCACAGCGAGAGGACACGGCTACATCTGCTGTCAGAGATTCACTCGCAGCTATTTGGATGACAAGCTTGTTGTGCTTCAAGTTTTACACTAATCCAGTTTTGCAGGAATTCCTCTTCCTGATTTGACCGGGCTGAAAAGGGACCTGAACCCGACAGCGTTCAGCTTCAGCTCGCTGCCGCTCTGTCAGTGTCTCTCCTCAATCACAGCTTGTCTCTAGTTGCCAAAAAGCAAAGCGGGGTTAGTGAAAGTAGGTCGTGGGTGAGCCGAGATATTAGATGAGTACATGTGTATCTGTGAGCATGTAATAAAGTATTATCCCAGGCCCAAATGCGTTTGTTTTTGTGCTTATGTCATGGTGTGTTTCTCTTAACTTGAGTGCATACTGTTCTCTCTCCATGCGTTCTATGTGCATATGTGCATATACTCCTTTGTGTGTGTGTGTGTGTGTGTGTGTGTGTGTGTGTGTGTGTGTGTGGGTATGTGTTTGTGTGGGGGGGGAGGTATTAGATTAATCTGCTGACAGGGATATTGCCTCTAAAGCCAGGCTCACTGCTCCAACATGCTAATGAAATGGGCAGGGCTCCACAGCAGGATCAGACACAGAGGTCAGCAGTGGAGAACACTGTACTATTTAAGGACACACACACATATATAAACGCAAATAAAGGCATGAGATCACCAGCATGCAGTACATGTGCAGATGGACATAAAAGTGTGCATAGGCGAGTGGGGACAAACACAAACAAGTACACTCGGAGATGCAATCAGTCTGTCCAGGACACACACAGATAAATCCACGGAGTTCGGGACAAACACACACTGGCACACAAACACACTGAGTCAGTCAGAGTTAAGGCAATCAACAGTAATCCGTCTACCAGGGCTACAGACCATCTGTAGTGGAAACCTAGCAACCAAAAATATTTTCATAACTAATGTGTGAGCAGGTTTGGAAAACACATCCATACATGCAACGCTGTTCCACACTTTTCCACCCTTTGTGTGACATTTGACACATGTGAATCAAGAAGAGAGGAGAATGAATGATCTTTGTGCATGTGTGTGTGTGTGTGTGTGTGTGTGTGTGTGTGTGTGTGTGTGTGTGTGTGGTGGGATCTAGAGTCTGCTGAACTGGCCGCCCTGGTGTCCACAGCATTCCACAAACCTCGGCCACTGGACAGATCTTGACTAGTCAATAAGCAGGTCAAATGGCCCCAGCGAGGGCTGGAAGCCCCAGGACGTGATTGGCCAGAGCAGAGGACTGGTCTGATTGGTTAGGAGAGGCAAGGGGCTTTATTCAGGCTCTCGCCTGCTATATGGCTACTTTGCTTCCTCCTTTGTCATTACAGATCGCTGAACCATTCACAGATGTCATTGTATGCGTGTATGTGTATGTGTGTGTGTGTGTGTGTGTGTGTGTGTTGAGTCTATAGGGACATGGTGGGCAGGAAGTTGAGGGCACAAGAAGAAATGTAAAGCCACAACAGAAAAAAGTGGAAGAGATATGTCTCTTCTGTGCATTCTGTACTCTTTTTCAAATCCATTGTGACAGCAAATAACAGAAAGTCAGTGCACAACACACAATAAATGTTTATGTGTCAGCAGACAAAGGCTTGGGTCATTGTTGTCAGACTGTCTTGTTTTCTTATTAAGTCTTTATAGTAGCACGTTTGTTCTCTAAATTCTGGCAGTGGACACAGCGACCATAGTCTGAATCCAACTTTATTCACACATGTAAACAAAGTTACTGGACGGGGACAGCTGCTCTGTGTTTGTAATTCATCACAGTTTATTTTAGCTTTATCTTGTGAATCAATACTTTTTGTGGTTATGTTTTGTTTTGATCTGATTCTGAAAAAGCTAACAAAACTCTCTCCTCAAAGGGGACCTCATCCGTTGTGGTATATTGTTATACATAAAACAAACCCTGATGATGTCACAGTGATGTCATCTGGGTTACTTAAGTTTTGGAAATGGAGACTACAAATTTAAATGTAAAAGGCTAGGTTACAGACTGGATTATGGAGTTTGAATGATGAGGGAGTTTACCACACAGGAAGGGTCCAATGAAATACCCTACTGAGTTGCATTATGGGATGTGTAGGATGATAGAATAAGTGTTTTTGGGGGTTACTGAGGTACAATGTGGAGTTATTGGCCCTGGGTTTTATGGTTGGTCATATGTAATCATATATGGAATCACATAAAGGTCCAGTGTGTAACATTTAGGAGGATCTGTTGAATATTGAATATAATATTAACTATGTTTTCATTACTGTATGATCACCTGAACATAAGAATGTGTATATGACTACATATTACATATTTACTAGGGATGTCCGATAATATCGACCCTCCGATATTATCGGCCAATATTCACTAAAAAATGTAATATTGGGAATTATCGGTATTGGGTTTTTATAACTGATGTTTGTTCTGAAGGCTCAGCATTTCCGAGCCTGCATGAACGCAGCATGGGACGTTTACCGGCGCGTGCTAGATGACGTATAACAACAACAACTACAGCTAGACTGGTTGGTTGCTAACCGTGGCTAACAAGCAAACAATTTAAAGCTGAATGATTTTAATATTAACACAAAATAAGTGCAATGCACCTTAAATATTTTACCCTGCTCTGAGCTGTTCCTTAACCAAACTAACAATTGGCTTAGAATTTACATTAGCACTCCTTCAGGTGAATAATACAATTAAACACATCAACCAAAGCTAGCGCTTAGCTAGCGATTAGCGTTAGCGCTCTTTTCAGTATTAATACAATGAAAGTTGAAGTTGTTCTCTTATTTTGCACAGACAGTGTTTACATTTGGAAAGCCATGTTGCATTTATGTATGCGTCCAGTCGGGCATCACAATAAAATTAGGCATAATGTGTTAATTCCACAATAGGAGATATGTTATGTTGTTACCGAACAGTTTTGGTGTAAAAAGCCTGCATATATCGGTATTGGAAATTGAGAGTTGGACAATATCGGAATATCGGATATCGGCAGAAAAGCCAGTATTGAGCATCCCTAATATTTACAGATGCCACGGGTCCTCTTTCATGAAGTGCACCATATTGAACCGCCATGTTTCTACAGAAGCCCAGTAGCCCAGAACGGACAAACGTGTTTTGACAAAGATTGTATGGTGAAATTGCTTGTGGTGACACACTTAGATATGTGAGAAACACATTCACAAAAATGTCCTGTATACAAACGTGCATATTCCATTCTTTTAATTTGGTGGCTTAGGACCAAAAATAGTTTCCATGTAAAATACAGTTTGAGCAATCTATCATTACAAAGTGAGAAGCAATGTCTGAATTAAGGAAGATTAGTCTGAGGTCAGACTGCAAGCCCGAGTCAACATCATCTGTCACCGATCCATATGACTGCTCAGTGACATGTCCTGACATGTTCTTTCTGCAGCTGTCAGACTGTTTAGAGTCAATCCACAATCCACATCTGATTACTATAGCAACGCCACACATCCTCAAATTCTGCTGCTTTCACCCCCAAATCTCATGAATGTTGGCCGACTTTCCCTTATCCACAAAATCCATTTCATTCATTCCTTTCATCTACATTTATATCTCCACACATGCATCCACACCATCTCTCCTCACTACTCCAGCACTAAAAATATCTACGGCCTGTGGAAACAATGACTAAGTGCTAATAATCAACCCCTTGCCAGTGTTTACATTGTTGAATAGGAAACCTCCCTATTCTGTGATGTAAACCAACCACACAGCACTGTCGATGTTTGATTGTAATCTGAGCCAGTGGGGTCGTAGGGCTGGAACCATGGGCCAATAAGTAATTAGAAAAGTTAAGGGCCAAGGTTGTGTACTGTGCAGACTGCCCTGTGTAAAATCAAAATTGAACAAAAGAAGAGAGCGCTGCAGGGTGGTTTTATTCTCAGCTTGCCAAAGCAATGGTCCGATCCCACTGCTAAGTGTTTGAAATTCTGGCTCCGCCCCAGCAAGCCAAGGGGATTGCTGGAAGTTGGCATGATGAAGTACTCGCCATACACTCTGTTCAGGTTGAGTAACCTTGGGAATCCTTATTTCACCCCATCTCGCTGATTGCTCCAACCGCAGACTCCGTCCTGTTGTTCTACCAACCTTTCATCCATTCATTCTGACATCCACCCACCCACTGTAACGTCCTTAAATTAATTTTAGCATCGATCTATCTAACAAATATATATCCATCCCCCCTACTGGTTACGTTATGCTGATATCATTCACATGTTACTCACCAGGCAGTCTGTTCATGTTGACTCCCTGGGCAGACAGGCCGATACCCATGTACCTGCACACAACAAGAAAAGAAATATTCAAACTGCAGTAGATTATACACAGCACATAGCATGCACCCACATTTAAACATATCTGTAATGAATCTACAGTATCAAAATGTAGGTGTTTTCTCAGGTTAACTTTGGATTGTATATGGAAGAGGTAACTTTGAGCGTAGCGTCTTTGATCTCCTTTCACATCCCAGATGTGCGGACTAGTAATGGCAGAATGAACTGCCTCCGAGGTAGAGTGGTAACAGCTAAAGGGACAGCGAGAGTCCGAGCTTAAGGGTCAACAGTGACATCGTAAGACCGTCACACCAGGATAAGTGTTTGGCCTACATCCTTTTCATGTAATCAAAGCTTACGGAAGCTCTGCAAAAACCTTTTTGCTCAATTGAACAAGTCATCAATATTGTCAGTGGAATGCTTTTGGCATCGTCTCAGCTCGCTTTGGCACATGCGGATGTCATCTCTCAAATCCAAGCAATAAATTATTTCTTGTCCAAGCCAGAATGGATGGCCTTATTCACAAGTTTCTGCTTTTTCCTCAATGACATCTCGGATGCGAGAGAAGGAAAAGACATTGGTGTCATATCAGTCAACTGGAAGATGATTTTAAATGGTAAATAGACTGTACTTGTATAGCGCCTTTCTCCAACCACTGAAAACGCTTTTACACCACATGCCACATTCACCTTTCACATTCACATTCATACAGTGATAGATAACCCTTCACAAACATGAACTAACATTCATACACAGATGAAAAATGTCAAAAATTTATTTAATTGCCAAAATTGGGTAATTTAAGTTCTATCCATTTTTGCCAGTGATGGCGCCCCCTATATTGTGTGACTTTAGCACTTCCCAGTGTTGAGACAGTGGCTGCGTTTCATTAGTAGTTCCACTTCCCCTTGTTCACTTACCCTCAGCCCTTGGTATGATGTAACAGCATACGTCGCACGGAGGCCACTTGGAGCGCGGAGGGAAAGTGGGCGGGGGAGGAGCGGGGGATTTAAATGAAACGCACTTGCCCTTGGAGTCTACTCATTGGCAGCGGTCGGCGTTACAGCGGCAATGACGTAAACTGCAATGCATTGTGGGTGATATCCACCTCGGAGTGACCATCGTTGTTCACTCGCTCCCTCAGCCCTCCGAGGGTCCATCTCACCAAGTTCACTTCAGTTTTCCAGACAATTGGAACGACACTTATGATGGCGGCGGGGATTCCCCCGAGGGCAAGTGCAGAGGGCAAGTGAACGAGGGCAAGTGAATGAGTGTTGAACGACTAATGAAACGCAGCCAGTATTTAAAAGACGACACTGGGGTTGGTAGCCTGAGATCCTCAGACAGGGAGTTCCATAGACACACTATGAAAGCCTGGACACCTTTTGTTTTTGTGAAGTGGGACTTAGTAACCAACAAGAGGGTCCCAACTGGTTACATAAAGTGGACAAGTAAATTAGAAATATAGTTGGGTCCCAAACCATGCAGTGCTTTGAAGGTCAGCAACAAAATCTTAAAGTCAATTCTAAAACCTACATGCAACCAGTGCAGGGAGGCGGGAGGAGAGTTACATGGTCTTGTCTTTTAAGAGCCTAGCAGCTGACTTCTGAACAAGCTGGAGGCAACAGATGGCTTTCTAACTAAAAGGGTGTTGCAATAATCTAGGCGTGATAAAATAAAAACATGAATGATCACTTCACGCTTTTATTGTTATGCCATTACTCACGCAGTATTTCCTGACATAACGCTTCTCTGTGGACTACAAGAATGAAAGGAATGTTCATCTAGCAGCGTTTGTGATGCACTGGATGTCACTTGACTGCAACATAAATATGAATTCAATATGTAGTCAAGTCCTGCCTCTAGTCCAGTGAACCAGTCACTCCATACAGTCACACTGCTGCCTGGTGTTTCAGCTCCAGCAGAAAAGTTGCTTCAGAGGGCTCTCCCTTTTACAGCTAAGGCAGCAGTCACACACACAGACACTCCCACATAGCAGATGTCTTTCACACCAGTTTTGTTCTGTTCGCACAGAGCTGCTTGACTGGAACTGGGGAGTGTTAACAGTATATTATGCAACCTGAGATGCAACTTTATTGGGAAGGATGGAGCAGAGTTACATTACCAATGCAGAATACAGGTCGAAAGGTGAGTTTTGAAAGCCAGGAATCGAAGAACCTGGCAAAGTAATTGCAGTGTCACTGGTGCTGATCAACAGCCCTAGCAATCACAGCAGATGCTTTAGCTAAGGGGAATAATGTGGCTTACTTATACTGTATGGCACCATAAAGCACAGAGCTGTCCTTATCAATGTTCTCCTACACACTTAAACTTTTCTACACAATAAGTTTGTGACATTTGTCAGTAATGCAGCAGAAAACTGCCATTCAAATCCTTCCTGAGACTCCAGGGAAAAGTTGATATGGGTAAATTTGTGCAGTAATTACACTTCAGTTTTAAGTTAATTCAGATACTTTTGGCAATTATTTCAGGAAGAGGGCATAAGCTGGGCATACACTGTACAATTTTTAAAAATGTTGTTCCTACTCCAACTGTACGACTAAATGGTCCGCAATGTAAAGCCAAAGCTCACGCTCATTTATGTGCTCACACTGTATGGTCCGATTGTCAAGCCACAACCTGAGTGCTCAAACTGTACATTTCAAAATGGAAAATAACTCTGCCTATCAGCCCCAGCGTACCATTCTAACTATCCATTCCAGCAGTTGCTAACAAGGCAGAAACGTGCTTCTGGCTTGATCATCTGTGCCATCCTTTGCACTGACTGCTGAAACTTCTCCGACATATATGGACTCTCTCTATCGTTCATATCGTTGGTGATAGGAGGAGGGGTGTTTGTGAGTGGGGAATTTGGGGAATCGACTTGTGGATCTACTTCAACTGTGCGACACTGGCTGACCAAAACTTCTGACATGTTAAAAAATCCAACAACCGAAGCTGAACTTTGGTTGCGACTCTAAAATGAGGCTCAAAAATCGGGTCAAATGTTCCCAGCTTTAGTACTAAGTATAGTCTGGTCAGCATATCAGTACAAGCAACAGTAAGATAAAACTGTGAAACTAGATGAATGGCCAAGTTTAGGCACCAGTGGCGTCAGAATAAAGGCATTTTAGTCTGTACTAGTTTAAAAATGTATCACAGAGACCCACATGGTTAAAAAGGCAGAACTGTTTGATGTTCTTTTTTGATGTACATCTGTAATGTCCTGTTCCTGATTCTGGAAACAACTGGCCAAATGTTATATTGAGATAAATCCGGAGCAGCTAAGATGACGATTTAGATTTTTCAGCTACACTGAACCTCCACAGTCAGGTTTTGCCCCTCAGATTTGATGAGCCGGGGCTTGTTGCTAAAGCTACCATTTCTGGGTTGTAAAATCCCTACTTTTCCAAACACAGCAGATGAACAAAAATTGAAATGTCTATCACTGTTGATGCAACTCTCTGTCATGGCACTGAAACATTTAGAGAGCAGGACAGCTGATGCAGATATTGGCAACAATACGACTCTAATGGAGGTTGAGTGACATATTTGGGGGACTGTTGTATCTGGCAATGAACTTGGAACAGTTATATCACGATTGCTGCTTTTAATGCAGACTCAGGGTGAGGTAAATGCTGCTGAAGCAAGTTCATAAACTCCCTAGCCACCTCTGTGGTAAGACATCCTGTCTGACCTTACCAAAACAACCACAAGAGACAAAGATGAGCAAAGAAAGTACACAGATGTAGCACATTATTGTGGAAAATACAACAATAGAACTACAGACAGGCCTAACTAGCCTGAAAACATTAGAATACACATGAAATGAATGTGTTTGTATTGGTGCTAATTTCACAGCATACACATTTCTAGATAAACTAATGCTATAATGCCTAGGTGTGTAGAAATCATGCTTGCTAACAACAGTTGGATAACATTTATGTTCCCATTATGCATCTAATGTTTACCAAGTTAACATGCACACCATGAGCATGATGAATGCAAACATTTGATAGAAGTCTGTTGGATATTTTATGCTGTTAAGTACAAATGAACATCATCCATCCTCTACAAACCCAGAGTTTTGGCACCAATTGTCATAGCAATCTTTCCAATAATTGTTGCAATGAAGAGGCACTTCAGTACAAGTTAACTTGTAGCCACTGTTGCGTTACACCAACTCTTGGCAGAACTGTAAGACTGCTCATTTAGCTAATAACTGCCCTCAAAATCAATGTGGGAACAGAGAAAACCTTGCTTGATGAGCACACTTTGTTCTCATGAGATTGGTTCCTTTGATAATATATTCACACAACAGCCAGTGCAGTGCAGTGCAGTGATCCAGGGACCTGAACATGAAACTGAGACTGTAGTACATTAGGACACGTGCAATAAAGCTTGAACAGAGTTGTGTCTGCTTACCCATCTCGACCTTTGCTGACAATCTTGACCTCAAAGTAGTAGATCCCACAGGCAGCGGGGATTGGGTGTGTGGCTCGCACTGATGCTGCGTCCTTGTGGTTCTTACCATGGCCTGCATGAGGAGAAATACAAGGTGCACATGAACCATATGGTAGCATCATTTTATGTAAGGACTAAGGGGTCTTCGAGAAAATGCATTGTATACCTGAGTTTGAGAGTTTCTGTATACCTGAAAGAGGTAAGCCTCGATCAGTTAGTCTGTTAACATTTTAAAACACCAAAATCACACAGCAACAGACAGCCTAACACGTTGAGGCAGCATTAGACCAGCAACTTCCAAGTTCTGTGGTGTAAAATGACTGTTTTTTTCAATGGAGTCTGATATTCCTTCTTTTTTAATGATGAAGATAAAGTGACGTAGCTTCATTACAGGTAGGTGGTCAGCATTTATGGGACACTTCGCGTTAAGGTGCTTTTGTGCCGTTCTCACCACAGATGAATTTTCTGCAGTCGTTGTTGAATACTGTTTCCTCTAACTTAGGTTTATGTAGGCGGTCTGCGTAAGGGGCTAAAATACAGTTTCCAGGACAACAGATTATTTTCAGGATATTTGGTCATTTTAATCAATTTCCAATTGTTTCCAGGACCGGGAAACAAGTCTCTAAATATCCAGATTTTCATGGTTTTCCAGGACACGTTGGAACCCTGTGGACTTACTTTGACTGTGCGCAATCCCCCTGCAGGATTACACATTGCAGCCAATTTTGCAGCGCTCCCCCTCAATTTCAGAAATTGCTGTCCCCATTAGTCACTTAGACGCAAAAACATGGGTAAATAAGGTCCAGGTCCAGGTTAAAAAATACGTAAGTTTTACTTTAACTTATAACCTAATCATGATCTGGTCTTGCCTTTGGCTTTCCACTGATTCCCTCACCTGAGTATGGCAACAAACACCAGTTCTAGATTTGGTAAATCTGATCCAGTTGTAAAGGTAGGGCTAACAAAACAGTCTGCCAGCTGTCCCAAGTCGGACTGCCCTTTGCACAAAACAAAGCACTGGGGGGGTCACTTGTCATGTGAAATTATGTTAGGGCCCTAAGGTCACTGATCTACTATACGTTCACAATCTTCTTCTTTTTTTTTTAAATTCTACATTTCCCCAAGGCTGTTCCACTTTGTCATTTTCTAGGATGTTTTACTAATCCACATATCAGATAGTCACATCAAACTGCTTGACTTGTTGATCGAGCTGGTGGCCATGCAGAGATTAAGCTCAGATAGGACAGATTCTCTCCCAGTAATCCATACTTTTGTTAAGGTGACTTTTTCTATAAAGATTTGGTCCCTGCATGTAAAGATAACCGAGGGGCTCATGTATTGTGTCTGGACCAATTATATTAAAGCACAACACTCATTACGGTCTGTCATTCTATATTCAGATGGTCGCTTATGCAATCCCTTGGGTCATCGGAGAGTGAGGTGTGTTGTGTAACTGCTATGTCGGCTCTACAGTAAACATGTGCATCGTTCTGTTAATGTAATCACACCACTGAGTTCACCTGTCGTGATAAAGTCATTGTGAACTTGTGTGTGGGTGTGTGTGTGTGTGTGTGTGTGTGTGTGTGTGTGTGTGTGTGTGTGTGTGTGTGTGTGTGTGTGTGTGTGTGTGTGTGTGTATGAAATTTAGATAGGCTGTAACCTTAAACGAAGCAGCTGGCTGTCAGCAGACACCTTGAGGCTCTTGCAGTTTGTGTGTGTAAGAGACACACAGAGCATGGAAGCCCCAGCTACTAACACACAGCCAGCTGGGAACATACCAGAAATAATGAGATAGTTTACTAAAACTCAGCTTAGTGCTCTGGTTTCTATTTAAACTATGATGTACTTATCTATGCATTTTAAAACAATTTGTAACAGTTATGCTCGTCGTGATTTCATTAAATCATCGCCACAACATGTCCAGACAATGTTCACAGGAGCTAAATGCCATGCAAGCATTCCCTGACACAGTTATCACTATGGTACTGAATTAAAGCACATTAGATCTGTTCTATGACTCAACAGATCTAATGTGGTAGCAAGGCATGGTATTACATGTTTATTCATGTGACTGGCATGCCTGTGTATGTGTGTGTTTCTGTGTGTGAGTGTGTCCAACCGTTGAAGCAGCATTCATGGCGTCTATTTTTAGCTGCTCCCTGTGAAAACGAGCCGTCAGTAGGCCAACAGGTCTCTTTACAACTGCATAGATGGGTAGGAGAACTGGCTACTACTTTTAACAACACCTACCACCCCCTAAATCAGGTATTCCCAAACTTTCTCATGTCACTCATGTCACCCCTACAATAGAGGCACATTAAACCCCCACTTTGAGAGGATTGTGTCCCCTCTGAGTATTGTTTTAGGTTTGAAGATAATAAAGCCTTCATTGTCAATCACTATAAATTTCAATCAAAATGGACAATCATATTTCTTCCCTTGTTGTTTTAACTTAAATATGTGATAAATGTTAACATTTTCTATTCCTCCTTTTGCTGGGGTCCCCATACAACATCAGTTTGAAAACCACTGCCCTCAATAACGATCCTACATTTACAAATGTTTTAAAATGTTATTTGAACATCCTACAAGGAGTTTTTCACTGCTTATTAAACAGTCTGTATAATACTGATGCCTCTGTATTAGTGTGCCCCTCCATCACCGAGGCCAATCCAATACACAGCTCAATGCATTGCTACCGATCCCATACATTATGTACATTACACATGTGTATATAAACAACTACCAATGCAATATGATACAGTTTGTGAATTTACACAGTTTGATTCAACACAATGCAACGTGATACGATTCGATGCAAAAGAATATTAGGGCTGTGCATCAGCAATAATCTGGTGATACGATACATATCACGATACGGGGTTACGGTTCAATATACTGCGATATAATGCGATACTGTATGCAAAGCAATATACTGCGATTTATTATTTGTATTCATTGCAGTCCCTGTAACATTGAACATCACAGCCCTCAGTTTATGTTACTGCTATCTAGCTGTTGGGAGTGTGAACACCAAAGCTGATACAATGTTTCTGAGAATCAATCACGATCACAAAACCAAAATATCCTGATACTCAAGTGTATTGACATTTCCTTACACCCCTAAAGAATATGATGCTATGAACTTCAATATGGTAATGATCATTTGATTTTATGTTTTTGGTATTTCTTTAGCAGCATAGGGAACAGTTTAGAGAGGAGTAATCCATTCAAATATTAAATTATTGGTCACAAATTATTGGTAACATTTCCAAACAATAAATCCAAAGAGCCTCAACTAATAATTATATGCTATATAATATATAATTAATAATAATAATAATTTTTTACTAATGCAAAGATATTAGAAACAATGCATAGCAAGTTTATCCCAAATTGTATTCCAATGCACACGTTTGGTTGTTTTTTTTTAAATTGGGGCGATCGCATCTTTAACTTTTATGCCAGTGCACCAGTGCAACATATGGAGATAATTGCAGTATTTAAAAGGATTCAAAACTAATACTGAATGAGCCCTCTTCTTCCTACACAGGTATGTAACATGCGAAGGCTGCTCAATGAATCGAAATATTATCCAAATTCCAATATGGCCAGGTGCAATATGCAATTCGCAGAAGCTGTATTTTTAAAATGTGTGACAGAACAGCATTGCATCATTATAATGAAGTACTGTGGTTCTGCAGAGACATGCATGCCAACAAATCTTGTTCTCCAGATTTAAGAAAAACATTTTTTGTTAATTACAGGCCCCAAAAAACTGAATTCTTTTCAGTGAAAATTAAAACCTGTGATGCAAAAATGATCCCCACAAATTGTGAATCATATCGCAATATCTGTCAAAATAATAGCAATATTGTGTTTTTACCATATTGTGCAGGCCTAAATATGTGCAATGTAAATTAGTGTGTACAGTCCATGGAGGTCACAGTGGTCATTATTGTAACACAACTGGCTTACAACATAACATTTTGTTAGCATTGCCCAATGAGCTATGTCTTGCTATTGGCTTACTATTATACCGACATAACAATACATCGGAAGGTTTCTAAACAATATTACTATTATTGAGCAACTAAATCTGTTAGTTGTAGGCTTAAATATAACCTAGGTGAATGAACGGTACTAAAACTGTTAGTTTACTACGTCATACTACAGTTATTACATAGCCACAAATAGGTACATTACCCTGTCGCTATGGATCTTGCAAACGACTGTGTCTAAAAAAGAAAAATAGTATTTTTGATAAGTTGCGTCTTTCTTTCACTCACTTCCAAAACAAATGCACGCAATCAAGATCTTTATAACACGAGGCGGTGGAAACACTACCACTTTTGTCCACAGGACAAAACTTTCAATGAAAGTTCCTATTTCATAGACAAAACTGTCCTCTGGGAAACAACCCCGGCACTGCTGTGTAACACCTCTCAGCTGTTATGTGACATCAGACCTCGCCACCAGAGGTCACGGATCAAAGGTTAATGTCCTGCTCTTATCCCACAGCACAGTGGGGTCTAAATTGCTTACTAGAAAACCAGCACTCCAACCCCAGAACCAATCCTTGACCAAAAGCAGCAGAAAACGCAAAATCTATCAGTTCAATAACAGCAAGTACAACAGCGCAAGGGTCTCCTCTGCCTGTCAACAACAGCAGTGCGAATAACACTATGTCACCAGTGAAGTACACAGAGATCATGGGGGAACTTTTATAAATGTGCACAAAACATAAATATGGCTTGACGAAAAGAATCATTGTCACTAAAATTAAAGTAACTGGTGGCTGGTATAGTTGGTCAGTTATTTCTTTTGCTCCTTTTGTGAGGAAATAAATGTTTGTTATTATGGAAACGCACGATGGCCAAAACTATGAAAGTTTGTCATAAGCCAGAAATACCCTAAATAACACAGGTGTTGTTGACCTCTTCACAACAAACTGTGCTTGATTGACATTTCCTTTACTCATCTTACAGTTGTTGCACCTGTTATGGCAGGACAACTGGCACCCTTAAAATTCTTAGTGAACAAAAACCTTAAAATGAACTGCATTTATATAGCTCTTTTACCCACACAAAGCACACAAAGCCAAGCACATGCCAATGGTGGTGAAGATACCATTCAAGATGCTTGCCTCCTGGCTGGGAGGAATTGGGATTTGGGGTCTTGCTAAAAGACATGGCTACATGTGGACATATCAGTAGTACCTGGAGTTTAGATACCTCATAAAATGCCCATCAAAGCTCTGTTCAAGTGCTGATATTAAACACTGACAGCAGCCTGTGACTATCAGTACAGTAGATAATAAATATAGTGGTCCCAGCACTATTCCAGTCTTCTTTTAAGAAAACAGTTTGTACAATTGATCAAATGGACAAATACATCATAGAACAGCCATACACAAATGATTGCTACAGTAGCCTCACTGGACGAAAATGCAATGCAGCCACAAGAAACCTCGAAAAACTGCTGATAGGCTATAACACGCAGCAAAGATTTCTGACTTCTAGCAGTACTTGAATGTTTTATCTGCAGCACCTTTCTGTTTGACTCTGTGTGTTAAAGTAGCAGTGTGTTGGATGAACAGACTTGGAATAGTCTGAGGTCCTGAAGGGGCAGCTCTGGGATTATGGGCCACTGGGGCTGTTACTATAAGCAATTAGATCCTTGCATAACTGGACCAAAAGCTTTGTTGTCATTATTGGAACTATGTCAAACGCTTTCTCAATAGATGATGGACTCCATTGTGCTTTGTCATTTTTTCCATTTTCAAGGACAAAATTTAAAGGCACAGCCAAGGATTGGAGGATATCCAGGCCTCTTTGATGACCTCAGGATTGCATGTCAGATATTTTCAGATGATGCTTTGTCAGGCTGTGACCTACGTCAGAGGTATACAGCTGACTGAAGTGGTTGGGATCAGTCGGTCAGCACCTCATGGTTCATTTCAGAAGGTGAATTATGCCCAATGGATTGAAATGCTCCCACAAGTGGAAAAGCATAAAGCTACATTCATTGTTTTTTTGGCCACTTGGGGGCAGTACAACAAGTTGCAAACTCAAGATTTGCATATTATTTACCTCCTGCAGAAAATGTCTTATTTAAACATCCAGTTGGCAGGATTTAGTTGCAGACTGCAACCATTTGAATACAGCACAGCCTTCCAAGTCTGTAGGAGAAACTATGGTGGCCGCAAAATGTGCAAAAAAACGCAAAAGCCACTATATACAGCCAGTGTTTAGTTTGTCCCTGCTCGCATACTGTAGAATCATGGAGGTTCAACATGGCGGCCTCCATAAAAGAGGACCCGCTCCCTCTGTAGATAATGGCTCATTCTAAGGTAACGACATCACAATTCTTATTTTCAGGTGATTATACACTTATGAAAACATATCTATAAATATTATATTTAATTTCTGCCAATAGAGCCTCTTAAATGTTGCACTGGACCTTTAAGCAATGCTTGAATCAAAAATTAACTTGAACTTATTCTAATTATAAATATAACTATTCTAATGATCTATTAACTCCCCCTGCTCTTTAATCCTATTTCTATTGTTTCTATCTTTTTCTCTAACACACACACACACACACACACACACACACACACACACACACACACACACACACACACACAGTGATTGTTATTTCAGGTTGCCCTGTACCATATGCTAAAGGTTGCCACTATCCACCTACTCTATTAATCATATAGCTGAATTGGTTTTTAGCCTAAAATAGATGAAACGGTTAATGGTTATCACTGAGCTGGTGTATCCATAGGCAAAAAATCAATATGTTTGTTTATATGTGTTCCAGTGTTTATTTGTGTTTCTATCTGTTGAGACTGTGTAGAATAATGTGTGTCAGTTTAATCTACCCAGTCTCCTGGCACAACAGGACTAGGTAGACACTGAGTGGCCTTGAAAGGAGAAAATTGGCACACTGGTCAAAATAGCATTCAAACCACAAGGGTGAGGGAACAGAGCAAGAGCTAAAACAACCAGGAGGAGGAAAATTATCCTGCACACTCCAGAATAGACCTATTTATGTGTCATCCCTGAACAATTGTGCAGTGTCACTTAATCTGTGCACTTTTCATAGACCTAAAGACTCAATGTCCCACATACTAACCACAACATGAAATGCCATGTCTTATCTTAAGACCGACAGGGGCTCATTCATCATTTTTTGACAAGTGCATGGGCAATTCTAGACAGAATGCAAGGAATCCCAATAACACTGACTAAAATGGATGGTTTTATCACACCATTAACAGATCAATCAATCAGCACAACAATTAATTATGTGATTCTACTGATAAACAGAATGTAGGCTCTTATTTTACATTTTGCCACTGTTCATATCAACAGCAGGGCCCTGATCAATTATGCATTAAATAATCTGTGGGTTATATCTACCAGAGTCTTGATTTGAACAAATAGCAGGCCTTCCCTGCTATTCACAAACAGCAGGCCCACCACTACGTATGTGCAAAATAAGCCTTTCAAAATGGGTTACACAGCCTGCCTGCATCCTCTCATCCTCTGCATGTTTCACTGATGTAAACAGCCAACAGGGCCCAAAGTGGCCTTGCAGTGCCTCTGTGCAGATTTTTCATAGCCTGAGATGCAGCACTAGCTTGCCTGCTACTTGGGGGCTGCCCTGACGTGTTGCCTGACGAAAAACAACAGAGCAGGCCAAACACTGAGAACAGGACTTCACGCAGATGTCACCTTGTTTTGATTTAAGAGCTGGACGTATAAAATAATCCCGCTGACAGGCCTGGCAGCAGCCCGCACTGACAGTTTTCACCCATCCGAATAAGTGATTGACTGCACCGTCAGACGAGAAAAGTTGCTGTTATTGTGAAAATGCCAGAGTCTGCCGATAATACAGATTTAATCCAAGATCGGTACATTTGGCCTAATGTAATGCGCAGAGGCCTCCTCCCTCACAGCAGCTGTTGAAAACGAGCTGGCTGCCTGCTGGAGTATGGACCTGAGACTGTAGTGCTGTGCTCCGGGCACACACACACATCTGAATGGAGTAGGACTCGTTGCTTCCAGGCTGGAAAAAATGATTTACTAATTCTGGAAAAGACTTCTAGAACGCTGCCAGTGAAATCACGCGAGAAAACACAACAATGACATTTTTATTCTATTTTGGTGCTTTCTGGAGTCAAAAACTGAACAATTGCAACATTACCCCCCAGTGCTGCGTTGTAAAAAAGGCTAACAACAACTTTGGCCCGTGTCCATCTTGTAGCCAGCGTATCTTACCGTCTTCACAACAATATTAGTCACAAGGAACAGCTAGGTGAGCTAACATTAGCTAGTTAGCCAAAAGGCTAGCTACTGTGTTTGCTCAGGAGATAGCTTGCTGTTAGCTAGCTCCTGTTTGTTAAATACCATTAGTTAGCTCAAAAGCAGACCCCTGTGTGTGCGTCGTTACTGCTGCCAGTGCCACCTTCCAGCACAAACTACGGAGGACGTCAGATGGACGTCAGTTTACTGCAAACAAATAACGTCATAAACGGTAAATAAACAAAGGAGAGAGCCGTGTTGTTGAAGGTGAATTTCAGTGTGGTGGTAATAAGACCAACTGTCAGGGTGAGCGAGTTCACTGTCACCCATTTGGGAATTCCTCTGCTCATTTGTGAAACAAAGCAAGGTTACGGGACAGGAGAGGCAGCTCAGACTAGATTTACCAGGAGTGCACACACACACATACACAATCAACATAATCGCATACAGTGTGTGTGTGTGTGTGTGTGTGTGTGTGAGAGAGAGAGAGAGACTGAGCCCCCCTCCCGGAACAACACAGTGACAGATTTGAGCTGAGACCCTCTGCTGTGGTGACTACTTGTTCAGACCATCAGGGATGAGCCAGCTCTCTAACCTTTGTAGTGGACCCGCAGGTTGTTCTGTGACAGCCCAATGTAGCTGTATTTATCCTTGGGGCTCCAGGATCGGGGTAAAGGGGTCTCTTCCTCGTTCACAGCCGGGTAGAGCCGCTTCAGCCGCTCGTTCAGCTCGTGCTCCTGGTAATTAAAAGCAGGATCTCCCAACGGCAGGCTTCCCGCTCCAAGCTCTGCCATTTCTGGCCTCTGTTTGGTTTCTTATTGTTCGTTTCTGTCTATCCAAAGCCCCGTGTCAGTCCGCTGGAGCTGTAGGCTGAGAGTGAGAGGGACTGAGGGGAGAAAATAGCAGTGGTGTGACATCCCCGGATAAGCAGCAGAATGTACTGTAGGCTCGAGCGGTGCCGTTTGGGTACTGTAGTTCAGCCGCACGCTCGCTTTTACGATAATGTCTCTCGAAACAACTACACAGCTCAATTACGGTTACCTTGGTGTCGGGCTTCCACCGAGAGAGGTAGCTAGGAAATGTAGTTTTTTCAGCTGTTACTTTTATAGACAGTTTTTATGATATTATGTAATTTCATAATGTATCCATACGTGGCACACGAGAAAACATGGAACTTACATGTAGATGAAAAAAAAAAAAAAAGATGAAAATTAATAATTAATTCCACAATTTAAAAAAAGTTTAATATGTAAAAAATAAGCCTAATCCTGAAGGCACAGCTGCTATCTTAGCGTGGTGTTGTTGTTTTTTTTTTATCTTCCATGCCTTCTTCTCTATATTACATTGTAGTTATTGGAAGTTGCAGTTATGTGTTATTTATAAAGTAGGTTACCCGTTTGTTTATTCATTTATCATGTATTTGTTATTGGCATTAGTTAGGGTTTGCGGCTTAAGCACGCACGTTTAAAGAGCTACAGCTTCTCGAGCTTTACAAAGTATCTCTATATTTTCTTTTTAAGAGGAAAGTTTTCATCTTACACAAGTTGAAAACTAGTTAGGCGCGCCTTGGTCTACTAATGCGGGTCCTGCTGCGTACTCCGTCCCCGTTACCATGGAAACCCTGTTACAATGCTGTGGTCTGTGATGCTAAAGCCGACCTTGAGCTAAACGGAGCACACTCAACAGTTTGAGAAGAGCTGGCTATTATTCAGTCCAACGTTACATATAATCGCTGCAGATGTCTCCACAAAAAGACGTCAAATTTCCACCTTTAACACCGTCACAAAAACAAAGGCAAGTGATAGAAAGATGCAACGAAAGTATTCAAACTATTGCATTATTAAGTTCTAACCATACTGATGCTATGTATAACTAGCTAATGCAAAAGTACAGTTGTCAATAACTTAGCTTTGTTCTTTTTTTTTAATTTTAGGCTTACATATGACCGTAGTGTACAAAATGACACTATCCAGACATCAGAGGAAGGGCAAGAAGGAGAAGTAGCTGTTTCTATCCAACCCGGAGCTAGAAAGGTAAGCACAGCATGTACAGGTTCATCAAACCTGGCAGAACTTCACTCATAAACCTCATATTACTGATATGATAGATTAAGTAGTTTGATGGCTGGAAATATGATTAGTCACAAAATAGTACCACATGGTCAACTGCTGTCTGTCCTCCCCATTGTAACAGCAAGTTCACCATATATGTGTGTGTGTGTGTGTGTGTGTGTGTGTGTGTGTGTGTGTGTGTGTGTGTGTGGATAAACCCAATAGCTGTGCTGGAAAGGTAGCAGTTACATTTATGCAGGCCCGGGGAGGAAGCCCCAACTCCTGATGCACCTGGAGAGCTATGTGAACAAGGAGCTGCACAATATCAGCTCCGATGAGCCAAATATTCAGGAACTGAAGCTGCAGGTGATGTGTTTTAGTTCTAAAACTAGAAGAAATTCCTTACAGAGGTCTTCTGGTCGGAGAGAGTACTCACATATCTTAATCTGCTTTTGCCACAGGTCTACCGTGATGTCTTTGGTTGTTTCATCAAAGAGTTCAAAACCTACAAACCCCTTCTTTCTGCCATCAAAACGGAATATGAAGTCACTTTAGGTCAGTAGCTCTGTGAGTAAACCTGCCTGGAAATGTTCATTTCTTGAGAAGGATTACACTAGTATTGTGCTCTTCCAAATGATGGCCTAAACTGCCATAAAGTAAAAATAACAAAGCCCCCTTCGACAAAATGATTCAAAGATTCTGTAGTCATACAGACCTTTAGAGAATTAGATTGTATTTCTACAAGTTTGTTTGTTTCACATTGTGTCTGTGGTGTCCACTTAAGCCAGCGAAGTCCCCTCCAGTAAGAAATCAGTGTTTCCTCTAGTTCCTACAGTGTGCTGTCTGAATGGTGTCTGTGCAGAGTTTGACTCTAGAAGGATGTTTTCACATCCATCTGCTGAAAGTGGAAAGTTTCTCTGAGCTCAGTGTTAGAAACAGCTGTTGTTTCTTTTAATTGGGCATGTTGTTGCCATTGTAAATGCTGAATCATGTTTTGATCATGTTTCATGCAGAACTGCAGTTATCATTTTTTTGGTGATTTGTCCATCAGGTATTTTTGGTATTTTTTGTTTGTTATTTGTATTGTGTATCCATTAACCATTTAGCCTCTAAAATGCTCAACATAATGACAAGTGCCCATCACAGTGTCTCTGATCCTGAAGTGATACATGTCTCAAAATAGCTTGTTGTCAGACAGACAAACCCCCCCCCCCTCCCCCAAAAGATTCAATTTACAGTGTGTGAAATGAAGATAAACATGTACATCTCTGAGTTTGAGAAGCTTATAAAATGACCTTTGCAATATATTAACTATTAAAATTGGCATCAGTTACTTTGCATTTAACCAAATAATTGTTCTAGCCCGATAGTTTCAGGATAGATCATTTGAATGCACTTATCATCTGTTTAGCACATCAGCAGGATCGAATCCGAGAACTGAAACAACTGCGGTCCAATCTGAGGCTGGTGACAGAGGAATGTGACAGGAAGATTCAAGCTCGCTGGGCAGAGGAGCAGGCTGAGATTGGAGCCTTGAAAACGGAGAAGCAGCAACTGCAGATGGACATTGAGGCCATGAGGGAGAGAGAAAAGGCCATGCAGGCAGTGGTACATGACAGACTTATAAAGTAGTGTTCTAACCGCTATGTGAGTTTTTAGGGGAAACATCTTGTATAATAAAAACTTAACATAGGGAATTTATGTGATAATCAATAGCACAATTACCACATAAATTCCTTTTGTTAATTTTTTATTTGATGTGCTCTCCTTATCTGTGAATAGAAAAGATATTTAGGTTCACTGATAGAGATCTCTTTATCCAAAGAAATGTTTTGTTTGAAACTCAGTTCAGATAGTAAGGTTAATGGGAGATTATCACTATTTCATCCACCGACCCAACCATCTCCCGTTCCTCTCCAGGTGGACCGCCTACAGTCGGAACTCTCTGACCAGTATCTGCAGTACCGGGAGGAGCGTGATGCCCGCAAGTTGCTGATCTGGCAGCTCAATGACCTAACAAGTGGCTCTGCTAAGGAGGAGCACCCTGAAGATGAAAATACAGGTAGAGCCACAACTGTTAGTTTATTAGTCGATCGACTGACTCACTATTTACTACTGTCACTATTTTTGTGTTTCAATATAGATTTTTATATAAATCCCCCATATTGCATTCCTTTTTTCCCCTGATACCATATTGTATTACATTACACGTATGTATTCTCCACGAGTTCTGAAGCTACAACCAGCAACCATTTAGCTTAGCTTAGCATTAAGACTGGAAACAGGAGGAAAAAGATAGCTTGTTTTGTCATGTAAATTTGTCAGGTTCTCTAAAGTAAAGCATCCACTGATTATCGAGTCTGTTATCCATACAAAAACGGAGGTGAAAAAACGAGTTGTGGTTGCAAGGGGGGCTGGACTATTTTTCCTGACCTGAAGTCACTGCACCCAGCCAAGAAATAGTCTGCCTTGTTGCATTGCTTCATATTTAGCATACAGACATGAGTGGCATCAGTCTTCTTTAGTGTATCTGCAAGAAAGTAAGTAGGTGTATTTCCCAAACAATGCTAAACAAAAATATTAATAATACCTTTCATGTTGGGAATTTATAGTATAAGAGGTTCAACCAAATAAATAAAATAAATTCAAAATAAAATATATTTTCTTCTGAAATGTGTTTCCATCGTGAAAGAAGAGGCTAAGGACCCTGTGGAGCTGCAGCTCGCTCTGAAGGTGTGTCGGGAAGACCTGACTAAAGCCCAGGAAGAGCTCAACAGGATGAAGGCAGAGTACTGGGATGTTGTGCCACGACGCAACTGGGACACCCTGGAACAAACACACAAACAGACCCTCTTGCAGGTGGACAGACACATATACTTTACACACATGCATGTACACATACACAGAATTCATGACAGTCTTCACCATGGTCTTGTTTTTGTATTTTTTGTGGTATTTTCTGAGGTGTTCAGTTGAAGACGCTGCGGGGTGACTTTGATCAGTTGAAGAGTGAGTATGACACCCTGCTGGATCTCCACAAAAGGGGCAGCATGCAGAGTGAGGCACATGACCCCATCAATGTGCAGGTACTTTGTAATACCCATGGGAGCCAGGGTGGGCACAATATGTTGTGATCATTTGATGTGGAGTTGTGGCTCCAAATTGTACCATACAGGTGATCATGTGCAAATACGTCAGTTTATCTGCTAAGCTAATTCATTTGATTGCATTTTACCCTGTGTGTGAATGTGCACAGATTTGTTTAGTTTGTGTAACATTTAGCAGGATCTGTTGACAGATATGGAATATAATATTCATAGGTATGTTTTTATTAGTGTATAATCACCTCAATATAAGAATCGTGTTTTCATTACCTTAGAATGAGCCGTTTTTATCTACTGACGCAGCAGGTCAACTTTCATGGAGTCCGCCATGTTGAGCAGCCATGTTTCTACAGTAGCCCGGAACAGACAAACAAGCCTACCGTACTTTCTCCTACATACTCCACAGCCCATACTCATTCCCACAAACTTCTGAAACTTCACTGATAGATGCCACAAACCTTACACACTGGTCCCACACAAAAACTGCTTACAGTATTTAAGCTAAGCTAATTGTCTCCCGACTCCAGCTTTACATTGAGCTGACCGACACGAGAGTGGTATCAGTCTTCTCTGATAACTCTGGGCTATAGGGCGAATAAGTATATTTCCAAAAATCTTGAACTGTTACTTGTTTTTCTGTCTTACAGATGGATGAGAGTGTGGCCCAAGGGCAAAGCCAGGTTCAGTCCAGCCAATCAAAAGAGCCGATTGACTCTGATCCCCCTGAGAGCAGCACACTTACTGTCCAGGAGTTTAGGTAAAATCAAGAGATGTACACAGACAATTGTTTACAAGCCATGTTGCTGTTATTAATATAGAGTAAAATCACAAACTTGCCAATGAGGGGTTTACAGTCTGTACATCGTACTCTCACCCTTGGACCCTCAGGGAAAGGAAGAAAAAACATCACCAATAAAAAACCCTTTAGCAGGAAACAGTGAGTTTTTGTTCTCTTTGGCTGTCTCTGTTTTTCTCTGTCCTAAGAGAGTCTTTTGTGTATATGCATGTATGTATAGGGCAGCCCTGAGGACAGCGTTCCCTCTGAAGTCAGACCAGGAAATAGATGAACTTGTGGCCTCGGCCCAAAGCGAACCAGACCGCAGCGATGACGCTATCTCTTCTCAGAGACTCCACAGCCTGGTACGTACCAGCAGAGGTTTCACTGTAATTTACAAAATCTTGTATTCTTGTATCTTGTATTCTTCTTTGTCCTCTCATTTGGTGAACATTGAATTCAACTTTAATATTTAATCTCTTAGTAAAGCAATGTTAACTATTTTTTATGTATTTACAGGCAATAAAATCTGAGTTTGACTGGCCTTCTGCTCACTTTTTTACGATTTTGCTCTCTGGACTTTAATGCTCCCACAGCTTGCAGAATCTGGTGTGGCGGCCTCACCTCCAGCTCCTGACCAATCAGAAGATAATGCTGCATCAAATCCCTTTCCGGCCAACGACTGATATAATGTAATATTGTTATATTAATTGTATATATTGAGAAGGCCAACTTGCCGACTTAGGTACATCTGAAAAAAAAAGATGTATAAACCTTAATTCTAAGGTCACAGATTGATCATGCATTTTAAACAGTTCTTGACATTTAACCAACTGCAAATGTATGTATTTGTATTATTGCATTATCATTGTCTGCCATTCACCTCCATTGTGATGGGAGTTACAGTAGAAGACGTCTTAGCCACACAGAGCTCAAAATCTGGATGGCGAATCAATTTTTTATTCATAGTAAGTTATTTGTGATTTGAGTGAACTGACTCTATAATGTTATTATAAGTACCATGTGTGCCTTGTAGAATGGTTTATATCATCCTGGCAAATGCAACTTATCAAAATATAAATAAATCACTATAGATTTATAATGTTCATTCAGATAGCTTTTTATTTGGATGTGTCTTGCACTCTTAAGCTATTCATTACAACTTCAAAATTCAATACATTTGTCATTTTTCATGAAATTAGGTGTTGGGACTGTATCTGCAAGTAGAGAGTAAAAGGAACCAGCCTGCCTCAGAGCCCTTGAAGTACATGGTCTGGAGAAAGAGATTAATGAATGTGCTGTTGACGATAAAGTAACCACCCCAGATAAGCCCCTTTCAGACGTGGACAGTAATCTGTAAAAGCCAATTTTACTGTATGTGTTGACGTCTTGTTTGAAAATGTCCACCAGTCAATTTGCCAGAACCCACAGGGGCAGATCTAGAGGGGTGGTATGGGGCGGCAGTGGCCACCCCTAACAAATGCATGGCCACCCCAGTTCAGTGTCAAATGCTGTCAAGTTTACCACAATCATTTATATTTCAAAATAACATGTTAAAAAACAGAAATTTGCCAAATATTGCCATTATTAATGGCCGTGCTTGACTCAGTGACTTAAGTTCAATTAAAAATAGACTTGTATTTGGGAAATGTCTGAAAATATAGATTTATTGATTTCCAATGCCACCTTCAGACATTTCTATTTAATGCTTTACTAATGTGCCACAATAATGTAATATTTTTTAGTTCAAATATTTTTTTTTTCAAAGCAAATATATGTGATTGTTTGTGATTATATCAGCATATATTTCTGCCACCCCTTAAAGTCCCCTTTTCACCCTCTTGCCATCCAATTAATAATTCCCTAGATCCGCCTCTGAGAACCTAGTCAAAGTATTCAAAAAAAATTTCTACCTGACTGAAGTCTAAGTAAAAATAACTACAATGCAAAATGTACACAGAGGATTTTGACATTTTTACATACGTTATGATGTTTCTTTGGGACATTGTTCTCCATGTGCTACTGCTGTCTCACCCCAGTGCCTTCAGAGCGAGAAGGTTTGGCTCTCCACAAGTAACCTGCCCTTACAAATGGAATCCAGGAAGCTGGCCCCAAGGTTAATGATATTCATAACTATGTTTTCATTAATGTATAATCAGCTGAATATCGGAATCGTTCTTTCCTTAGAATTAACCTTATATATTTACAGACGCTGTGGGTCATTTCCACTGGCTGTAGATAGGGGCGTTCACATTTTTTGGACATTTCGTGGCCACCGCAGTTTCTCCTTCACACATGGTAGGAGACTGTGAAACAAACATGCAACTATATGGGCCACTAAATCCTACACACTGGACAAGTCAAATGTAGGTTTGGAAGGGAATGATAAATTAAATATAAATTACACAGAATGAGCTGGTTTTGAGGATGAGGATGTTTTTACAGTTTTACTTATTGCTATAGATCATTGTGTGAGAAAGGAGTACGTTTTCTCTCTGACTAACTGTCAGGCTGAAAACTAGGTACCAGGTACTATCCATAATGGAAAACCAAAAAAGAGTGAGTGGAGTTGAGTACCATGTGGTGGAAATGCAACTAATGTTCACCAGCAATAACTTTGTCTGTCTGCTGTTTGGGGCTGAGCAGGTAGCTCATAGTGGGTTTATTAGAGCCTTTTTAACTGACAACACTGCCTGCTGCTGCTAGAAATACATACGGGCCTGAAAACCAAAACAATTAGCTAAAATGTGCTAAAAATACTAATACTAAAAAGAACTGCTGAATCGGTTGATACATTCGGTTGAAAAACTTGTCACTACCTTACACATAATCAGATCCATTGGTAATGTAATAATATGAATTATAGTAGCTTTAATGATGTTTAAAATGTAAGTTTTGCAGGTATGTGGTCAAAAGAAAAGTTTGACAAATTGTAATTATGACCTGATAATGCCACAAAATGGAAAGTCTGGGGGTCACAAAAGTTATCACATTTCATTCATGGGGAACGTGAATGTCTGTATTAAATCTAATATTTGTTGAGATATTTAAGTGTGAACCAAACTTTTGGACCAACTGACTGACCAACATTACCATCTGTAAAGCAGTAAGTCAAAAAGCAGTCAATGCCTTATTTTCTTAGACTGAGCAGTATTTTGTAAAACAATATGAATAATAATAATAATATGTCATGTATCTGTATTTATGCATTGAAATGCCTGTTTTTTTTTTCAAAGTAGTATACAAATACTCATTACCAGGGTAAATCCTGCATTCAAATCATTGTTTACTATTCTCAGCCAAATGTACTACAAAAGTCAACTTAGTAATTATACCTAATAACTATATACAGTATGGTTATATTTTCAATGTTCTTATTTCATTAAATTATTATCAATGATGCATTAACATATAAGCAGAATTTTCCCCTGTTTTGTTTTTAATAGGGACTATTTTATTCAGTAGAAAGTAGTTCTGTAGCAAAGTGTTGATAGTGTGCCGCCATCCAAAAAAATGTTTTGGAACTTTGGAAACAGGTGGGGACAGAAATCTCAGACACAGATAGTGTGCTTTAGGTGAACAGATCCTTTAATGTTGTAGCTAATTTGGCTCATTTAACTACTTGATATACTGTTGGGAAATGTATTCTACACCAGTGCATCATACTTTATAAGCTGGTTACAAGATTTTCATGAAAAAGTCTTCATGCGTTATAAAATGTAAATCATGTGAGGGTTCTTTACAATGTTCAACAGGGCTGGGGAATATAGTTAATATTAATCAAACTGAGGTTCCATTAAACTCCCTTTAACCTATTTTGTTTTGACAAGCCATACAAACAAAACAACTGTTGAAAATTGTTCAAACACATACAGACTACAATGCCCACAATCCACCGGGCCGGTGACCGTTTTGAGTGCGTGCCCTCGTAGGGGAGCAGACACTGCACTGTGCGATCGTGCAGCCGGCCTCGGCGTTGGTTAGAGGTAAGTTTATATTACTTATTTTTAGGAAACCCTCTTATAGAATAGTGAATGGAAACATGTGCGGAAACAAAAAGCGCTGGGTTGGTGTGACATTTGACCAAGTATACGGTAATATAAGTAGTTCAATGGGCTGCTCCTGTCCGGTTTTGGGCTGTCGTTGGGCACGCCTATGTGGGGTAGCGTTAGTTAGCTGCTCCGGGGCTCCGGAGCTGTGTGTGTGCGGGCCCGGAGGAGGCATCAGCACTTGGTGGGGACGGGGTATTTTTAGCAACCGGTGAAAAGGCCAACGCCATACAATTTATCTGACGTCTAACGTTAGCTGTCGGGGAGGCATGCTAGGTATATGAACTGTCTTTTCCAACACAGGCTAAGTCAACGTTAGCAAACAAGTCAGCTCACAAGCTAACGTTAGTAGCAGCTAGTTAGCATACATTAACTAGCCATATATAAGCGTTTCTATTTATTAACACTACTAAGCAAGCTTATTTCGCTCTCACTTTAGCTGTAACTGTATTCACGCAGGTCTAGAACTATTTATGTCCCGTCGGCATTTACGCTATGTTGTTTCGACTTCGCCGCTAATTTTCGGAGCTCTCGGATTGTTCCAGTAACAACAGTGTATCGTTATGTGGAAGCACATGACTTGTGCTGTCAGTGTCACCCAAGCGGAGAGACGGCGTGTTCAGCAAAAACTCGTCTGGTATTTCAAATGTTTTTCCTTGCAGTGTGGTGATATTAGTACATTCTTTATTGCCCGGGAAGTTTGATTGTGTTTTTTTGTTGTTGTTTTTGTTTTGTTATTAGCATGTAGGGGCGTGAATTTTTTCCTAAAGTTAGGGAACTAATTGAGTACTTTTTTTTTTTTTTTTCAAGCCGAGAATCCATGTGATCTGGACAGTGCAGATTTCAGCTCTTTGGCACTTTTTTTTGTCTGTATGGTATGGGGCTATATACAGGACTCAGCTGGTGAAGATTATAAAGTTCAAATATTGTTTAAACTGCTTTAGAGAGATGTTTTACCCTTGACAGATACCTATTGGATGGAATATATTAGAAACACCTGACAGATCTTTAGGCGTTCAGCTGGGATGAGATCTGCCAGTAATTCACATCATTTTCATATTCTTTAGCCAACCAACCTAGTTTTTTTTAAAAAGCTTTTCTTTCTGGCTCCCATTCTGTCTTTCTGACCTCATCATCTGCCATCTCTCCATCTTTCCAGTGTGTGTTGCAGGGTGAGTCAGGATGGTGGACCAGCCTCTGTGGGAGCAGATAGGATCCAGCTTCGTGCAGCACTACTACCAAATGTTTGACTCTGACCGATCACAACTTGGATCCATATATGTGAGTGTGAGAGGACCATGCTTTTGTTCAGTTAGGAGGCTACTTGCCACAGGGCTGGGCTGCACCTGTGAATTAACTGTCTAAGAATGCAAAACCCAGCCTGCTTATAGGAGTGAGGCCTGTTTTTTTAATTGTTCCCGAAACTTTTTAAGCCAAATCAATTGCCAATTATTCTCATTCCAGTTCTCATTTGTGAGGATTTGCCTAAAGACTACTAACTACTACCTAAAGAGAGTAAAAAATGCATGAACATAATCAACTGGTACAAGCCATGTAAAAAGACACAGATGAAGGCTCTGCAGACTTGGCCTGAACCAAGAGGAGTATTCCAACTGTGATAACATGTCTGAGAAGTTGTTTATACGGACCTTATATGGGAAAACAGTTTTACGACGAGTCGAGGCGGAGCTGTCTCTGCAACTACACTTTTAGGCTTATATAGTGCTGTCAGGTCTGGAAGAATTGTATCCCTGATATACGAGACGATATACAATATAATCGTGTGTCTAGTAGAGGTGGGCGATATATATCGTTTGCGATAATATCGTCATTGTTGTTTTGACGATGTGCAAATTTCCATTGTCGAGTATTTAAATGACTTCGCCAAAAATATTGAAACACACGCGGAAACTCCTCACATCCACTTAATACACGGTGCAGCAACGCTCTCTACAGCATGGCAGGATTCAGTTACACGACTAGTGGGCCTACGTGATCACATGACATGATCACATGACCTTTGGCTAGCATCCTCCTTGCAACAGTTTAGCACTGCGTT